GGGGGGAGGGGAGCCAAAAAGCAGCCCCGTGGACCGCTGGCCGTGGCTCTGGCAGCCTAACTAATTTCCTTAAATCCTCGGGAGAGGTCCCCCGGGGGGGGGGGCTGCCCCGCTGCTCTCGTGTGTTCCCAAACGCCTTCAAGGGCACCTACTGCCTCTGCGTTAGGTTGTAGCTGCTCTCCGTTTTCCTCAGGAGGAAAACAAAAAACCCAAAAACCAACCCAACAACCCACCAAACCGAAGCCCTTGGTGGGGTATCGAATATTACGCGCCCGTCCCTCGCTAGCGACTTCTGAATATCTGGGGGATATTGAGGAATAACGCGGTGTCTAAGGACAGCCGAGCTGCGAGGAGCGCGGTCGCGCAGGCAGGAGCTGAGCTTTGCTGTGGTAAGGTTTAACGAGCCAGGGCTTTGGTAAAAATAGCAGTGCGTCTGCTGCCCTTGAAACGATTGGTACCGCTAGTCCTGCTCGCGAAGAGCTGCTGCGCGTTGCTGCCACGGCCCTTGTCAAATCTTACCTATCTCTTCTCGCATACTTCTTCTAATACGTAGGCTGGCATCTGTAGTTCTGCCCTTGAAGTCGGGCACCCGGGCATGATACTTGAATTTTCAAAGCAGCGCCATTGATTGACATAATAATAATCGTCCTTTCATTACTATCTTGTATCTGCACGTTAGTTCTGCAGAGCGCACCGAAGAAAAAAGGAAAAATGCCCACTTCTTTTTTTCTGCCCAGAAAAGAAAACAAAGTAAAAGTTGTAAAACTCTTTTATTTGCTCGCTGATAAAGTGGGAGGAAAATGGTCTCTTAACATCACTTGTTGTGTTATATCTTGCTCTTGGGAGCTTGCGGGAAGATGACAAAGGGCTGTGTGTGCCCTTAGATTTAAGGGTGTCCAGAAGCCCATAAAAGTATTTCAGAGAAAAGCTCTTGGAGCAGACAGAAGTTTTGCATTTGGAGAACGGTTTCTCGCATAATAGTTGCCAAGGATACAGCATCCAGCGAGCAGAGCTCTGCCTAACGCACAAAACCTTTGGAAGCCCTTGGTGCGCTGGGTCAATTCTGTTTTCATGTGCTCAGTCGTCCTCAATTCAGAGACTGGTCCCATTGTTTTCAAGGGAGGCTTTTTTTTGAGTCAGAGCTAATTAAAAGAAGGGCCCGATGGATTCCGACACCTAACGAAGTAAATAAAAAGATAGTTTAAAATCTAGATTTGCAGTTAATTCAACATCATTTACAAGGGTATTCCACTGTGTTGTGTTTTGCTTTTTCTTTGTTTTGAATACTGTCTTGGCATTTTTTTTTTTTTTTAATAACCATGCTTTTTTTTTTTTTTTAATAACCCTATACTAACCAACACCCCCCCTTGCCCCCATTTAGTGTCTTAGGAGCCACCCAAAATCCATGGCCACTTCTACACATTTAACTCCTGCCCTGTGTTTCAGCGTGCAGTGTGTTTCTCAAGTTTAATTAGTTTGGAAACTGGATTGCAGACTTTGGATGAAAGATGGCCAAAGTCTCTAGAGGTGCTGTAAACCCAGCTATGAAAGATAGCTGCTCTGTTAAAGGGAAGTCCTGGCCCAGTGATGTGTTAATCTGAGGTTCTGACTCTTGCAAACATTTTGTTTCTGCTGTTGTAATGATGTGGGCAGGCTCACTGCAATCTGCTTACGTGGTTACAGTTACCTTTGTGTTTGCAGAACCAGGGCCTGTTTCTAGAGTGCCTTAATTACCTCTCTTGGCCTTCTCTTAGCTTCTACAAAGAAGGAGGAAGAAAAGGGTTGATTAGACTTGTTTACCTTTACTACTTATACTGAAAGCTTAGTTCATTGTGTGCACTTGCACTTAGTGCAACCTTTCTATGTTTGGCATTACATCGTTGTGTGTGTGATTTTGTAGAACCAACTGATTTGTTGCTTTTTAAGGATAGTCTTTCCATTTTCTTTTTTGGAGGTGGGAATATTCTTTCTGCAGCTTTTCCTCAAGACTGTATTTACCTGCTCTCTAGAAGATCACCACATTTGTTGACCGAGAAGGATTTTGCTCCATTTCTCCCAGAGATCAGGACAAACTCTGTGATCTCGGAGGAATGCAGCTGTCAAAGCAGAGCATAGGTTGAAATTCAGATGTCAGCTCACACTGACATATTTGAGGCTTGATCGATTAATTGCTTTGAAAATTAGTGAGCTAGTGGATTGATGGTCCATTTAGTATCTTGATGGTGACTAGAGCAAAATATCTTGAAACAGATGTAGGAGCTCATAGCTCAAATACATAGTAATGCTGATGTCTAAATCATTCCTGAAATCTTATAAAGTGTTGGCCTTTTTGCCAGCAAGTTTGAATGATCGATGCTAGTTTTCTTTCATCAGTTTTTAAGTTATCTTCGTTTGACTTGGATGAATATTCACTTATTTTCTGAGCAGAGGTGCCAACTTGCTGCCTTCAAATCACGGGCTGGTTTGTACATCTCCTCGTAGATGGTGTTCTGCTGTGGGATGTACTTGAGAGAGTGAAGTCGGTAGCGAGAATCCAGCTCACTTCAGTGCGTGTCAGATTTCACCATTGCTGAGTTGAAGTTTGTAGTGACGATGGTCTTTTTGTAGTTAATAAAATAACTTGTATACTGCAAGTCATTGTAAGTTACATATTATAAACAATTATTAAGAAAACCATTTAAAATTCAAATGAAAAATGCTATGACCCGTCATAGCATGTCGTTAGTAGCTTTTCTGTAACCAGCAAGTATTATAGTTTTGACTCCAAAGGTCAGCATTTCTTTAGTCCAGTTCTTTGGAAGTATGACACTTGATTTCATATGTTGGTTTTATTACTTCTTCTCTTTAAACTTACAAGTATAGTTCAGTCTGGATGCAAGTCTGGATCTATGAAGTGTCTTCTGATTGACAGTGTTTTTAGATCCTCGTGGAGGAGCGCAGTGAAATTAGGCAACGGAGTTCCATGAATACTGGCTAGGATGGGCTTTACCGCCCTGAATGCGTCAAGTATCTGGATGAGGGAGAGCACCTAAATTGGTTGACAGGGAAAACTGAGAAGAAAGGTGTCTGCAATCCTTCCTTCACTTGGAATTAGGTGTCTGATTGGAACCGCCTCCCTCCCCCTTATTTCCCCGCTTCTCTCTGTGCACACACCTTTCCCTACAGCCTTATCTCTGGATGAAGCAGCTTGCTGTACCTTGGCTTGCGATCACTTCTGCCTTGTGTGTGCAGCAGGCGTGCCCGGTGCCGAACTGAACCCCCCGGGGCAGGGCACTGCCATCGGGAACGCTTGCTTTGGGTATCCCCCATGGTTTCGGGTGCTGGGCGATGACACACCATCTTAGTTGCCAATGCAATGAAGTACCACAAATTCTGTTATGGTATTTTTAGCCACATCTACAAATTCTTGCTGAGTAACTAAGCCACATTGCAGAGCTTTTTTGGGTTGCTTACATTGATTCGATTGCCCAAGGCGCCACTTCGGATTTGGCTTTTACTGCTTTGTTTCTGAGGATTTTAGGTCTCTCTTACTGTCCGTTGTATGAATGAGAACTGGATCTAGTCTGGACTCTGAATTCACATGTCCCTTTTGCCCATTTCTGTGAACCTTGGGAAAATTCAGAACTGGATCTAAATTTGTGGCTCAGGCCCAGTGCCAATAATGCTCTTTGAATCTAATTTGGTACTTTGGGTTTGTTGGTTTTGAATTGCTTTGAGTTACTTGATACTTCTGACTTGCTGACACAGGGCCGTTAAGGAGAGTGGATATATATACATGGCCGATGTCAAGTGGTATGCTTTTTTTAGAGATCTTCTTCATTATAACTTATTCATATAATTACAGGATGCTGAGTATGTTGCCATATTCTGTTTTCACATTCCACAGTACTGCTCAGCATTGGGGCAGCTCTGTAAGAAATACATGTTTACAATAATATAGGAAATCAGACTGTCGAATCTATCAAGAAAATGTGATTGAAATACTTTGCGTAATAATGCAAAACCAAAAAAATCTTACAGTGCGTATGGGGTGCTGCTGGTCATGGTGGAAAGGGGAGATATAGTGCTATGAGGGTAGTTGGTTTGACCTCCTCTTCCCTCTGAGAAAACTGGAGGCAACTTCTGTGTTTAAATCTCTTCCAAGAATTTGTAATTAGGAACAGTGTCATTCAAAAAACAGTGGTATGAGCAAATAACTCCAATGAGCACTAGAGGGATTCGGGAGTTTCATTCATAAAGAAGCCATCCAGATTCCCACCTTCAGTTGCTGTGATTTAGCCCTAGATGAAAGCCAGGGCTGACTCGGGAGGGATGGTGTGATGTAAACTGATAGCAGGGGCTGTTCCACCAGGTTGTGTCCTGGCATGGAGCTCCGCTCTGGCACTGAACTCAGTGCCAGGCTGTATCCTGGCATCAACCTCAGGTTTTCTGAGAGCAGAAAACCTACCAACTGGCTCCTCTTCCCTGGGTTTCCTTGAAGCACAGTGGTGTTAAGAAATGCCTTGGTGCACAGAGGCTGGGGAGAAGCAGAAGAAGGGAGGAGGGTTTGGATCCTGATCCTGCTGGAAGTAGTGGTAAATAGAGCAGCTGTTCTCTGAAGAGAGCATTTTTTGGGTTAGTTGTTATGCTCTTCACAGGAGCTGAAGAATAGAAGACGGAAACTGGAATATCATCATTGTCCCGGGGAAGATGAACCCCCCGCAGGCAGGGGAATCTGGCTGATATCTTCTGCAAGTGTCGCTGCTGAGGACTGGGGAATATTTTAGTTGAGGGCTGTTAAGACACGTAGGTTTTTCACATTGTCTCTCAGGCAGGTGAACATCAGCCCTTTCTCATCCTTCAAGAGAAGAGGGGATTTCACACAACAGTTATTTCCAACAGGTTTCCAAAGTGTTCTGGATCTAGCCAAGTATTTCTGGAGCTGACAAAATCCCATGCTTCAAGAGATTGACCCTGTAGTGGT